TCATCGTACTGGGATTCTGACTATTGGGTCTGGGGAGAGGGGGCAAGTTAAGCTAATCCAGCCAGAAATCAAGCAAGTAAAATCTCTCTCACACTTCTCCCTCTGTGGCCAATGCCATCTGCTAGTTTTAAAAATAATTTTTAAAAGCAAGTGTTTTGGTTCTCTTCAGTGTGCAGCAAAGACAGATGCTATTTTAAGCTTGTTTTCTATCCCCCCCCCACCAAGAACCAGGGGCTGAGTGTCGTTGGGCTCTAGTGTACTGTATGCTTTCTGCCACCAGCTTCGGTGTGACCTTTGTGCTAACTGCATATTCCACCTCCCCATTTCCCTCTCTGTCTCTCATTAGGTTGTTAGAAAGAGGAAGTAGTATTGATCTGAGAAAAAAAATTTTTTTCAAAAAATATATAATTGGTTGACTTGCACTACTTGCTGTAAACCTGTAGCTCCAGCTGGATGCAGGGATAGAGCACTGTGGGCTAGAGGCTTCCCCACTGCTGGGCTAGAGGCTTCAAAGGAAGGATGCATCCATATTTCCTCTCCCCCAGAACCTTCCACGCTGCTTGTACTCACCGGGGGCAGCATAGTGAGAGGCTGCGAGTGTTGACCCTAGAACTGATCCATCCTTGTTCAAATCCTGACTCTGTCACTTACCAGCTGAACGCATCTTTCTCTGTATCTGCTTTCACATATTAAAATGGAGGAGAATGATCTAACACTTCCCATGCTGGGTTGTTTAGAGATAGAAAATATGCAAAGCACTTAGGTAGACATCAAGTGTTTGATGATTGTGGCTTTGTGTCATCATTGTCTGTGTTATAACTGTTAAAATGCATACTTGATATCTTTTATATAAAGTAATATGAACGCCTATGCACTGGAAGGAATTTTTTTTCTTTAAATGCTGGATTTAACATTTGTTCTATGGCCAGAATTCTCTTAGGCAGTGTGTACATGCCACCTTGCTTAGCTTCTTGTGGGTAGGTAATGAGTATCCACTGTATAAGTGAAGAGAAAACTGGAGATCAGAGAGGTTAAATAATTGCATGGCAGTTGCACAGCTAGTAAGTGGCAATGAAATGGCATTCGAACGCCATGTTTATTATGGCTCTGGGATCTCTGCCCTGCAGTTTCTGTTCTAGCCCTCCCAGTAGGCTTTGCAGCTCCTCAAGTAAAGCCAACTTTTAATCACACCTCAAAGTTACCAACACCTTAAACAACCCAACCCACAGTTTACAAAAACATACTCAGTGCTCTGGACGTGGGACTCTGACCATTTCTTTCCCATTCTTAAGTACCAGTCTATTCTAATTCTTAATTAATGCTTAATTTTTCTTTTAAAAAATGGCTATGACCACCAAGTTCACATGGTTAAAGTGAGATACAGCTCTAGCCTGGCTTGAGAAGTCAGGTGATGTCCCTCACCTGGGTCATAGTCTCTGTACTCAGCTCTGTGTGTCTGACAGGAGTCACTCTGTCAGAGATGGTTGGCTCTGTCCTCACCATGCACAGAGGACACAGGCACAGGGACCTAGGGTGATCTTGAGGCCTATCCCCAGAGAAACTTCTGGCCTAGCACATCTTTTTCAACCCTCGAACTCATGCTGGTGCTTCAGGTGCCCATGGATTACTGTGTTGTTCATCCATTCGCCGCTCATTAATTTGCATCAGTGGATTGTTTTGGCCAGAGACGGCAGACATTCAACATTCAGTACTATCCATCACTAGACCGTCGCTCACAAAATGAAGCCCCCAAATCTTTACATTTTCCTATGTACAGATCCCCTTACATGATCTGAGTGAGTCTATCTCTGGTCTCTTCTCTCACCCTGTCTCCTTTCTTCTCTGTTTGACATTCTCACTGGTTCCTGATGGACTCTAAGGTATGGTAGGTAGGTGAACTCCCTACTCATGGCTTTTGCTAAGCTATTTCCTCCACTAGACACATGCCTGGTCTGGATGGGTTTGCTCAAGGGTCTTCTCAGTGATGTTTATACTGAGCATGTGACTGCAGTTGGCAGCCATCTTTCCTGTCTCATTAACCAGCTCCCCAGTTTCTTTATCCTGGATCTTTTGACCCTGTTGATAATCTCTAGTGCTATCTTTAGCAATATCTCTCTGCTGAGTTGAAACATAGATGCCAGGAATCTTTGTTGGCTTTGTTCACTGCTTTTCTCTCCTGCACCTGTAACCTGGTACCTAGTAGGACTCTGTAAATAGTTCTTTATTTAAAGAATGAATGGATAAACAGATGAGATAGACTGCCATCGGGTTGAATATGTAATTACAAACTATGATGTCACGAGAAGGGTCATCCGCAGAGTTTCACAGAAGAACATCACAAGCAGGCCTGACTTAGATTGGGTGGGTTAATTTAGAGGAAACAGATTTTTTAGGCTGAGAACATGAGGGGGATTTTAGTTTCCTGCAAATAGTGCAAGCCTCACCATGGTAAGCCAAAAGAAAGCAGACTAAAGGAATGCTGCAACCCGGGGAGAACTAAGGGGAGGGCGGTGTCGTTCATTCATTTAGCAAAACCCTTTGACAGAAGGAAAGATGTCAAATCTCAGGTGGGCATTTCTCTAGGACCATGATCCCTTCTGCCTCATTAGCCTTAGAAACAGCACCATGGATCTGATTCCCTCCACCGTTCAAATGAGGATACCCAGATATCAACACTTCAAATATGCCCAGCAATTAAGAGCCAGAGCTGTGCCCCTAAATAAGAAGTCTCTTTAGCATCTAAACATGTACTCTTTCACCCTCTGGGTACCTCCTGTGTGTTGCCCAAGAGCCAGGAACAGGCTTACCCAGTCCCTGGCCAGAAAGAGCTCACAGTATGCCTTGAGAGACATGTGCAAAGTCCCCTAGGTTGAGATACAGATTTTTTTTCCAGGTTCCAGTTGCTTCACTTCTGCATATTTTATGTCCTTGTTTTATGTTCTTGTTGTTATGTATAAAAACATGATCCTCAATTGTATATAAAGCAGCCGGAGAAAGGAGATTAGATTACTTCAATATGGCCACTTTGGAAAAGAGTCTGTATTGGGGTTTATGAATGTGCCTTGGAGAGAGAGAGAGAGAGAGAGAGAGAGAGAGAGAGAGAGAGAGAGAGAGAGAGAGAGAGAGGAATAACTAAGCTGTCCTGGTTAAGGCATGGTCCTGCCCTTCATTGATTGATCACTGTTTTGGCTCTGGTCTGCCTTGCAGGGCTCTCTGACTATGTAATCTCTTCCTGGGAGGCACATGCCTCCTCTGGATAGGCAGGCACCAGTTCTTCTGTCTCTTTTCTTCTCTTTTCAAAGAATTCTGGGGAAATTTTAATTCTTTGGGGTCCATCGTCTCCATAGTCTGATAGCTGAAGGGAAAGGTACAGGTGTCTCTTTAGAACATCATTTCTCCTGATAGGGAGATTACCATTCCACTCATCTTGCCTTTAAACTTCAGTCTTGAGGGATTTGGGGAGATTTGGATTTACAATGAAAATTCCTGAAATATGCTTGTGCACACACCGACATTTGCTGTAACAAAATTTAAAGAGAAGAAAGGTCAGTTGGCTCATGGCTTCCCCGGGTTTCAGTCTGTGGTGGGCCTACCCACCATGACTCCCATCGATGGGGCAGAACAGGATGGTGGATGCTGTGACGGAGCAGAGGAAGGGAGAGAGGCTAGGGAAGCACTAGTGACAAAATATCCTCTTTAAGATCATCTCCCAGTGACCCACTTCCTCCAGTAGCTACTACCATCTCCTAAAGTTTCCACTGCCTCCCAATAGCTTACTACGTTATGAACCCATAAGAAGTAATCCATTAATGAGTCCAGAATCTTCATGATCCAACCACTGCCTCGAGTCCCACCTCTGGACTCTGCTGTAGTGTTTAGTTTGAATGTGATGTGTCCTCACAGAGTTATATATTGGGGCCATGGCTCCCAGCTGATGGACTTGTGGGAAGTAATTGGGTCCTAAGAGCTCTGGCCAAAATAGACTTGTCCTCCCCTTAAGTTGCAATCTCAGGATTTTAATCACAGTGTCAAGAAAAGTAACTACCACAGGGGCTCAAACCTTCCACACATGAATATTTGGGGAGATATTCCAAGCCCAAAGTGCAGTGTTGTCTTCCTAGGCTGTTGCTTTTGAAACTGCTAATTGATGGATTTTGCTAGCCACCTGATTAGTTGTCTGTCACCTCAAAACTCTGTGGCTTAAAGCAACAGTAAACATTTATCACGTTATAGTTTCTGTCAGGGATTTAGGCTAGCAGATCTCCTTAAAAGTCTAACTTCTGGTCTCAAAAGAAGTGAGAGTCAAGTGGCCAGTGGAGACTGCAGTCTTATGAAGGCTTAGACGAGGAAGGTGATTCAGTAACTCTGCTTGGTTGTTGGTGCTGGCTGTGGATAGAAGCTTTGAGTCTTCATCAGCAGGCCTGTGTATAGTGCTGGTTGAGTGTCCGCACATCATGGCTGCTGTAGAAGACATAATCCAAGAAGGTGCAGAATGGAACCCATAAGGTCATTTGTGACTTCATCCCAGAGTCATGCATCCTGTTGGTTACACAAATTAGCCCAGCCATTGAGGGAAGATAGTGCAGGACAGCATGCACATTAGGAGGTGAAATCACTAGAGTGCCAACATGAAGACAGGCTCCCACCAATACCTATTACAGTAAAGTTATAAACCCAAGATAGATTACTTTTTGTTCCAGCAAACTCTGTACTAGACAATAATATCAATTAAGTAGTAAGATCCATGTGTTAATTATATTTTCCAGCACAAATGAATTTCAATTTGTAGTTATTAATTAAAAATGGTTTCATTCCTCCTGTGCTAGCCTGCATGTTTTCAGTGGCACAGAGGTTACCCTTAAGGGAATGCTGGGCCCTGCCTGAAAGAACACGCTGGAGTTCTGGTAGTTCTCATCATAAATCCCAACTATTCCCTGCTCCCCGTTTGGGTCCTGAGAAAGTATGGGGTGCTGACTTTGGTGTTTGCTCTCTTTCCTCAGGACCGCCTGTACTTTGTGATGGAGTATGTGAATGGCGGTGACCTCATGTACCACATCCAACAAGTTGGCCGTTTCAAGGAGCCCCACGCTGTGTAAGAGAGACCTCCCACTGTGACCTTTCCTTGGGATAAATGGGTGTCAGCTCCTTTGAAGTTTTAGCTCACAAGGAATTAGTTTCCCCCAACATTCTGGGCTTCCTCTTTGTGAGCAGTATTTGGCCAAGGAGGACTGTATTCTGCTTGCTTTGAGATGTTTCTTTATGTTCCCAAAGGCCAGCTAAGAACTCATAGCTCTAAACTGATGGCTGTTTCATAATCTCTACATTTTTTTGCCCCTCCATCCTGAGAAAGGTCTTCTAACTTCCTTAGGGAATATCTTTGCAGGTTTTTGTTTGTTCATTTGCTAGTATTTATTGAGAGCTTTCTTTGTGCCGTACCCTCGAGTCCTGAGCAAACACCATCTCATTTCATCCTGAGCAGTAACGGGTAGGAAGAGAGTCTCACCCAAGCTTTACAAACTAGTGAAACGAGACCCGGAGGGTGGGAACCGCCAAGATTCTAGACCTAGTGGAGGATTTGTGTGGGTGAGACCCACCTGTGTTTGTTCATCTGTTTCTTACACCCCCTTCCCTCGGATTCTTGGGGAGTTGAAGGTTCGAGTTGACTTGCAGCTGTGGTTTGTAGGTTCTCTATTTTGTCCCCTCCAATGCATAAGCCAGTAAGAGATCATTTATAAAATAAAAATCTCAGAGAGCTTCTCCTTTGCTTAGAACCCCGTGGGTGAGCAGGCACAGAAAAAGCCACAGGAATGAACGTCAATTCTCCTTCCTGGGTGTTTGCTTAGGCTTTGCTGCTTCTCCTGAGAGCCCCCAGAGCCCATGGAGGCCCACCCTACAGCTCTGGGAGGGCCGTGGGTCCCTGTTCCATTCAGCCTGCTTCCTGTCTTCCCACCTGCTGAAGCCAGGAACTCCATTCTGTTTAGTCCCATGCTTCCCAATCAAGCTCTGTGATGGTATCCTAGGACCACTTCTTTTCTCTCGAACAGCTAGTTGACCCAGGTTTGATTCATCTTACATGACACATACTATTAGGATTGCGCACAGCTCCTTGATGTCCTGCCAACCCTTGTGGTATAACTGGCAGAGTTTTGTTTTTTTTTTTTTTTTTTTTTTTTTTTTTTTTTTTCGAGACAGGGTTTCTTTGTGTAGCCCTGGCTGTCCTGGAACTCACTCTGCAGACCAGGCTGACCTTGAACTCAGAAATCTACCTACCTCTGACTCCCAAGTGCTGGGATTAAAGGTGTGCACCACCACTGCCCAGCTTTTGTGCTCTTAGGATCTCTTTAGTGAGCCAGGCTTAATGGCCAGCCTTTGAGATGCTGAGGCAGGGAGATTTCAAGTTTGAGGCAAGCCTGGGCTACATGACAAGTTACAGAGTTATGGACCAGCTGAGCTGCGTGTGGAATGAAGTTAAGCCTCAAGAAATAAAATAACAAAACAGGGACTGGGGAAGTGCCTAGATACACACTGCTCTGGCTTCTACTATCCCAAACACCACAAGAGAAAGAAACTCCTCTTTCTTCTTGGTGGACTTCTGCCAAGAAGTTACACATTAGACACCAGCTGTTTCCAGTCTGGACTGGACCACTCATTTGCCGTATGTCTTCTCCAGGCTCCTCACAGACTTCATCTCTAAGCCTTGGTTTCCCCTTTGAACAACAAGGCAGTACTAGTAGGAACTATGTCATCAGACTCTAGGTGGAATTAAAACAGGCCCCAAAACGATGCCAGGTGCATGCTATGTTTTCAATGGCTGCCAGAGGCTGCCACTAAAGTCCTTGAGCTTGTACTATATTGAAACAAACCTTCTCCACCAGCCCCCCAACAGCCCCTACCCACTATGTAGTTGCTGACCCCTTATCCACCCCCATGTGTCACTCTGAACCATTCTGTTCACCCACCCACCCACGTGCTCTGCATTTTAGGAGACGTAGATCTGACTATCCATTGTGGGCATTACACGCCTAGCACCTCGCTCAATATTCTATTGACTTCTGAGCTAAGTGTATGGTGCCCTTGACTTTCTCCATCACCACTTTTTTCTAATTTCAGATTTTACGCTGCAGAGATTGCCATCGGTCTGTTCTTCTTGCAGAGCAAGGGCATCATTTACCGGTAAGTGAGCATGGCTGTTCTTTCTGTCTCCTCAGCTCCCTCAGCTCCTCCCTTCCTGCCTCTTTCTTCAACTGCTTTTAAAATTAGAATCTGTGGTGGGGGAGGAATCCTCCAGTACTAACTTGGGCATGTGTTCTGCCAGGCAGCATCGCCCACTGCCCTGGCAAAGTTTGGGCAGCTGTATATGGTGATAGCAAAATCTTGATGGACGGTGACACCCATGATTCTCTGGGACCTCCAGCACAAGGACACTTAAGTCTCTGAGAAGAGGCAGCTCTGCGAAGAGGGTGCCAGCAGTACTTTCCTCCTGGACCCCAAACCCAGGAAGCATGTAAAGAATCGACTGCCGAGTGTGGCAGGATCGTATTATTATGCAACCATTTTTCTTGTATGTAGCTGCAATTTGGAAATAGATCTCTGAGTTGCTCTCCCTGAAAGACAGGATTAACTTCAGAAGTTGGCATTTGCCGGTTCGGGGAGAAACAAGTGTGTGATCATAGCTGTATGAGTCACACCATTTTATATTTCATGCAAGGCAGGGTAGCGAGCCTGAGGCTGCTACTTGTCAGTGAGTCCAGGGTGTACAGTTCCTCTTGCGCTGCACAGATGAGATGGCACAGGCAAGGGGGGATTGACTGACTGTTATGTAACAGGAGCCGGTGGGGAGTGTGCTTCTATCAGCTCTCGGCATGAGCAAGGGTCTATTTAAAGGCTCGTGAAGAGTCATATGAGCCCATTTCATTCATTTATTTGACAAATAGTCATCAAAAGCCTACTGTGTGCTGAATACTGTTCCAAGTGGAGAAAACAGAGAAGAGGCAAAAACTGTAGACAAGAGATGGAGATGGGAACTATGGAGAATAGAGTTTATTGGAGTGTGGTAGTGTGTTGAAAGGATGAGATGGGGTTGCCGGTGCTGGGTACAGATGCTCACCTATACTGTAGAAATAATGAAAACTCTGGCCTGCAGATATTGATACTTGGGTGTCTCTGTCCCCTTGCTGTAGAGCTGAAGGATATGGGACTAACTACAGGAAGACACTAACCAAAGACTATAGTTTAAGATTTCACACAAGACTTTCACCTGATGTTTCCACAGAAGGTTCTAACTCCTTCCCAGGATATGCCTCTCAAAGAATAGAACCAACCAGGCTCCTAAGAAGATTAAGTGCGAATTATGCATGTGTTAGAAGAAAACCCAGTCCAAGGAATGAAACTGAGTTCTTGTTAGCTGGGCTGGGGATTCGGGGCTCATTATCAGCCTAGTGGGGTATGGATTGAGATTTGGAATTGATGAGCCAGCAGTTCAGGTGCTAAGACAATCCCTTCTCCAAAATGATCTATCTGTCTATCTATCTATCTATCTATCTATCTATCTATCTATCTATCTATCTACTTATCTATC